GTATTTGCATGTGTTGGGAAACAATCCCCTATATGATGGGGATGAAAACCTGTTATACAACATACCAAACTTTCAAATGTCACCCCAAAAACATCATCCCAGACTTAGACAGAATGTGCAGAAGGACTCAGACACGCTTCTGCATTGTAGATCCCCTGAGACAGCATGTATGACAAAATACTCATGAATTGCTGAGAGAACTTGCAGTGGAGGGACCATCTCCATAGCTGCTGGAAAGCCAAATGATCTTTCTGATGTGAAAAAGTAAAAGGATCTCATATGTAACCTTAGAAATGTATCAAAAAAAGGAAAGCTGAGGATTTTTTTTTTTTGCTGAGTACTTCTCTTTTAACTTTTGTTAGCTGTATTGCTTCTGTTTGTCAATAAATAAGAAATGTGTGGTCTTATGTATTGAGTGCCAAACAGAGTAAAATCTCCTGTATTTGATTATAGAAATGGTATAGACCACTTGCTTATGCTTATGCTCTATGATTCCCAGTACTAAGCTTCTGAGTATGTTACAATTTTTATTCATGTGTAAAGCCACGTAASAGTGATTTTGTCACCAAAACTGTTGTGCAAGTGCCCAACTTACTGATAGTCCTTGCAGCAATCTCTGGAATGCTTTCCTTAAAGGCAAAAATATCTGTGGCTTTTTTCCTTTTAAGTGGTCCGGGAGTGTTTCAGAAGAAAGCATAAGGATTATGTTAGCCCGTGTAATGAGAATGCTGTAATTCTAGGTGGCGTTTCTAGGAAGAGGAAGCAAAGCCATCAGGAAGCTGCAGCATAAGAGGATGTGAAAGCACAGCAACTGCAAGGAGATGTGGTTTTCATCGCAGTCACACTGTGGGAAACATCTTGTTAAATAAATTGCCARATGACATTACTTGGAAACTCTTCTGAACATGTAGGCTTTGCGAGGGAAAAGGGCTTGGAGAGCAGTGTTATTGCTTACACATGGAAAAAAAAAATCTGAATAAAGATGTTTAAATGAAGTTGACAATATAATTACAATCAAGACAAATTCAGTCTGACTGGACAGTCTCATTTTGCTATTCTTTTTTCACAGTGTGATAAGTGTTTGTTATAGTTCGTTAAGTTTGTTCTTACTAATAGGCTTTCAAAAAAAAACTGTTTGGAAAGTGCAACTTTCTCTTGGATAGCGCAGACACAGGCTCTTCGTAAGACCTAAGAGAGAACTTTCTGAAAGGACAGAAATGTCTTGAGTAGCAAGGAATGATGTGTTTGGTCTTTCCACTTTCTGCATGGAGTGGCAGCAATACTAGTGTCAGGAACCTCTTGACATTTCCTGAGGAAAAGTTTGTCCTTCCAAGCAGAAAAGCAGCAGTATTTTGTCTCTGTATATAACAAAAAAAAAAGTCAGAAGAAAAAAGAGCTTTCACAACTATGTACGGTGGTGATTTATCTACTTCCTAACAGATCGGGTAAGGGAGAGACAGCACTGACATTTAGTGTGGACTGAGGCAGCAGTTACAGCTCAGAGCTGTGAAGCACTCTTTTTCCGGATCCTCAACAAAACCATCATGCTAGTTTCAAGAGACTGATTTGTTCTTTGCCTTTGTCATTTGCTTTAAATAAATTTTTATCAGCTGTATGACTCATTTTCCCCCCAAGAGGCAAAAAATGGTAGCTTGCGTGCCATTGTTTTGTCTGAAGACACTTCTTTAAATGTCGCATAGATACACTAATCAGTTTTCATTTTTGGTTGGAACTGACTGTTTCCTTCCCCCTCGTCTAGTGAAACGATCTGTTGTGCAGTCCTTAGYCCAACAGCATTTCCAGGTGGCTGTATGATAGATAAACTTAGTATCCCCCCACACTTTAGCACCGTGTCCTGTCCCAGTAATGGGGTACAAAACCAGTCTGTTCCTCTGCAGTACCCATGGAGCAGTATTTGAGATACCTTTTATAATTTATCACACCAGTCAAAGTCTTTGGCCTCTTGCTTTAGTAGGAGAGCTTTTTGTGGGAAGTTCATCTGTTTTGCTACTGCTGACCTTCTGCAACAGTCTTCTTCTTGCCTGACCCCATTTCACACCCTTCCTCCCCTCTCTTGCCTTTGGGGTGCCTGCTTTTTGCTACTCAAAAAGGAGATAGGGAAGCAGGGAATCTTCTGATCGGGAAATCTGTCACTGTTCTTTCAGAACTATCTACCATCTCCAATCTGGTGAGCAGTGACAAGGGAGGAAAATGACCACAATAATTTGGGGAGCTGAGAGAGGCAACTACGTGCTGGCACTGGCAAGACGTAACTATCCTTCACATGGATAAGTCTCCAGTGAAATATGTTTAGTGAAGCTGATGAAGGAGGTGCTGCCAGCAGGAGAAGGATTGAAACTGGGAAGACAGGTGCTATGAACACTGTGATTATTATTTAGCCTGTAAGGAAGCATGAAAAAGGCTAGACATAAAAAATACAAGAAGATGCCAGCCTCAAAAAAGATATMTGTTTGCTGATAGAAATATTTAAAAAAATTAAAGCTAGAAAACAGATGAAGAATGCAGGAGCTCTACACCCTTACCTAGGTGGAGACCTTAGGAATATTATTGTAAGAAAGCACTGGAAAGAAATGGAACAGATTTCTTACCACATTAGAGAAATAAATGTTTTATATATATTACAGTGATGACATTCTGAATATGGAATGTCATATGTTTTGGGAGAAGGGATAGTGTCAAAATSGACTTAAGTTTTGATTTATAATGTCATTTCTAAGCCTGCTGGAATAACCCTTCTTCTTTCAAATAGTCACAGAGAACATCCTATATCTCTGCCTTAAAAAATAAGTGTGCTAGCTCAGCGACTGGCACTTAACTTTTGAACTCAGTGCTCAGCCTCAGATACCCTAAGCATACTAATGAAAACACGAAGATGTAATGGCAACTACTAAATAGAAAAGGATAGTGCCCTTTTATTATTTTTAGATAGTACATTTGACTTGTGGCTACCAGGCCGATGGCTAACGGCAGGCTGATTTCCTGACAAATGGCCCAAGATTTGTCCCTGCACAATTTTTTAATCAAATGCATAAATCCGAATTCAAGTACATGAAAGCATGCCAGGCTGTGTCCTTCATTGCCTTTCAAAGTGGCCTAATATTACACAGTGCAGGGAGATTACCTCATGGGAGGAAGAAATGGGCTGGAGAGAGAGGCCTGCAGGTTTGAGAAACATTTTGGTGGGTTGTGATGCCAAGGTCAGTTTGCTGTAGGCCTTTACATGAGTGAGAGTCAGCTCAGAACAGGAGTGTCCCCCTGAGCTGCAGAACCCCAAAACRCAGCAGCTACAACAGCCCTGGGAACAAGTGTTAACAGCTTTACCAAGCAGACGTCGGCCCTGGGTATTTTCTGCCCTGTTCAGTGTAATACACAGGCTTTTTACTTGYTCTTGTGTCAGTGTAGGGAACTACACTTAGCACAACTACAATAAATACAAACACCCACAAAAAGCTATGAGATGGGGTCTGTACATTTTGATTCATTCTCCTTATTTTTGGTATATCCTGTCACCTATTTTAATGAATACATTATAGAATGCTATTACCTAAACTAGAATATCAGAACTCATCTTGTATATTTTCTCTGAAGTGGAATTTTCTAGAAGGTCCATTTACAGTTTTTACAGTTCTGCTACTTATGGAAAAAGGTTTATTTTGATTTGACCCGACTGCTTTCATGTGGGACTGAAGCTAACTCCCCAGGTCAGAACTTTCAGTTACTGACTTCAGTTAAAGAAAATGCTTTATTTACATGTTCAAGTCATCCTTCAGACTTGCAGATTTTGTTCATGCTTTTGTTTCCTGGCAAGAAACATTAGTGCATCTAGAGATATAAAGAAGATTTAAGATTATTTATTTCAGCTRGAATGAGACAGTGGGTAGTAAGTTTAAGAGAGAAAAGGAGAATGTTCTTTTTGGTTGAGACACRAGGTCAGCATCACAGTCAAAGCTCTGCCCAAACTTCTGTCCAAGAAAGGAGAGCACTAATATTTCTGTACCTTGTAAAAATTTCATAAAGGTGGTTGTATGGCACTTTGTTTCATAAGTGAAGAAAACTAAAATGATTGAGGCTTTCCTTATCATACCTTCTTCTGAGTATGGCCACTTGTCAATCGAAAGCTGATAGTCTATCAGAGCAATCTCCAGCCGTGTCTTTGTCCCCTCCTATGTAAAGTACTGACCTCTTTTACACAAAGAGACAGCACTTGGGTTCTCACATTGCATGCAGACCCCATGCTCATACCTGGCATACATAGCAAGAAAATATTTTTTAATTGAGCAATTCATGTCTAATTACTAGAAATTACTCTTTTAACTACTAGAAATTATTATGTATAATTCTTCCATGACAGCTGTTTGTGATTCTYAATAACAGTCATTAATTGCAGTTTTCACAGATGATCCCTGTGGCTTCCTGCAGCTAAGCACTGCTCCTGCCTCCTTCTACAGGTGTTCTCATTTCAGCGGGCACCCCGGGGTGTGAGCCTGCAAACAGCACCTGTGTCTAATCCAAAACCCCTTTTAGTCTGCCTGGGTTTTGCCGTTCAGTTCAGTGGGCTTTGAAACAGGCAGTGAGTTAATAGAGCACTGTTGGTTCTGTTATTTMTGGGATTAAATTATTTATTAGAAAAAAAAGGCATGTGCATAAGACRAGAGTAAACTAAGCCAACAAGATATTTCTGTAACAACACAGGAAAGAAAATGGTTTGCTGTTTTCAGGATAAAGAAATGTTATGGAGATCTTTTTAGTTATCTGAGAAGGCTCTTTTGCATAATTTACTCCACTGTGGAAGGATTTTGTTTCAGCCTAAACAAGATTCATAATARAGAAAATGTTCTGCTTCTCAGAGACAATATGATCAAGTTTCAGTTCCCATGCAAGTGGTTATCTGGCACAAGCACTTAAAAAGAGTGAGGAAGAGTCAGGTCAGAAAAAGACATATAAGTGTCTGTTAGAAGGGTCTGTGGCTKACTATTTACAGGCATCTTGTAGGTAAAGAGCAATTCATTCTGTTAGTTTTTGGGCTGGMGTGCAGGTGCAGATGGAAACATAATGAAATGCAGAAGGATTCTTTTTTGCCTTTTTTTGGAGCAGACACGACGCTTTGGTTCCCTATATTGCACTATGTGACATTTACCAATAAAAGCCCTCCTGGGCAAAGCCCACGGCTGCTGTATTGTGGAGCAGGTGATTAGAATCTCTCTTGAAGAAGCACTTCATGTTTCATGCCAAGCTACAGCTGTTTCCTCTTTGTCTTTGTTCCATACGCAGATGATGCTATGAGGAAAGAAGTCAGCAATGACTGATGTGGAGCCGGGGGTCACAGATTTCGCCGCCTCGGGAAGGGCAGGACGCCGGAACGCCTTACCAGATATCCTGGGCTCTCCCGCTGGAGCAGGGACTGCAGACCTGCCGCACAAGCTGGCCGAGCTCTCTGTGTCAGAAGGTAATGCCCGTGTCCTCGTGAGCCAGGCGCTTTTATGCAGGCATCCTTTGCTTCCTCCTTAAGGCTTAAAACAACTGTTGGCAATACTAATATTTTTCATTCGGATTAAATTCAGCATTCCCAAGCAGCTATCCCGTGTACATCCTAATGGGACACGTTATTTTTATCCTAAACTGAGTCTGCTGTAGCTACCCTCTGACTCAGTGTTGAGGAGACTGGAGAACATGTGTTGGGAACTGAGTTCTGGTTGCAGTGAACAAGCAGCAGCAGCATTGGACCTATGGGCAGCTGGTTAAACCATCACTCACAATAAATTAGAGTCTACTTAGCACAAGACAGCAAGCTGTGTTGTTAATCCCATTCCAGCTGCCATCCTACCTCAGGTATATACATTAACAGTAGCCTAAGGGCTGCACTGACTTATACCTGCTGTTAGGCTTCCAGCATTGGCAGCTGAGGGCTGTGTCATATTTCACCATGCCCAGGTTTTTATATGGGTCCAATAGCATGTTGTGGTGATCTCCATCTCCAGGTGAGGAGGAACCTCTTTACTGTGAGGGTGACAGAGCAGTGGAACAGGCTGCCCAGAGAGGCTGTGGAGTCTCCTTCTCTGGAGGTCTTCAAAACCCGCCTGGATGCYGCCCTGTGCCACATGCTCTAGGTGTGCCTGCTGGAGCGGGAAGGTTGGACTAGATGATCTCTAGAGGTCCCTTTCAATCTTGACTATTCTGTGATTCTGTGATCGACCTAGGTCCACTCAGCACTAGCTTTACATTCTTTCAGGGGCATTTTAGATATGATTCTTCCCACTACTCAAACGAAGCGGATCAAAAAACTGGTCTCCAGTGCCTATGAAATAGGAATTATGGGCTGACCCTTCATATGTGTTTTTCGTGAACTTTTTTTCTTGTGCTGCTCTGATGAATGTCACTGCAACTGATCTCCCACTTCCCAGAGCAGCGGTGATGTGAGGCTGGCACAGCGGGAGCAGGGAAGCAGAGAGGATGACTGGGGTATCTGACCTGGAAGTAGGTTGTGGAAGAGATTCCCAGGCTGCAAAGGTTCCTGTCCTGTTCTTATGTGGGTCTGCTGCACATCAGTAACTTGATACAATCACAGGACGTTGAGTGTAGCTTCCCAAAGCAACATGTATGTTGGGAGGGATGGCATAGCACTTAGGCTGCAAGCTGCTGGCCACTGGAAGAGAGCAGGTGGCAGCGACAGCACATCCAGGAGAAGCAAGGAGGGACTCATTCACTACCTGCTGGCCTGAACCCAAGAAAGGGGAAAATAAGAATCAGAAGGGGGCTGCAGGGAGGCAGTGTTGTTGCACAGGGAAAGGGCAACAATTTAGGAAGGAGAGAGGAAGACAGAGGGAGATTATAAAGGGAAAATGAGAAAGATAGCACGGATGGCCAGATGTGCTTAGGTGTGGAACTGCTGAGCAGTAGGAAGGGTGATGGGGAATCTGGGAGAACAGGCAGGCACTGAGTCCGAGTCCCTGCAAGGCAGTGCTGAGCCCTGGGAGTCCAGAGGCAATGAAGCCAAGTTCCTCCATCTTGGCTTTGAGGAGACATTCTCCTTAGGAATTTGGAAAGTTTATCCCTACAGGTCATTCTTGTGCATGTGGCTGAAGCACTGAAAATCCACTCCAATTATAGAGAATCACTTACATTTAATGTTTTTATTTCTTTTTCCAAACAGCTCTTTCACCTGGCATAGCTTGTACACAGTGACCAAGGGTCAGATTCCAGCAGGAGAGAACTGTTTCCTTTCCCAAAAGAGGAGGCAGGCTGGAATTGAGAATGTTAGTAGTATCAAGGACTGTGGAAATAAAGCTCTTAAATTAATCACTCCAACCCACTGAAACATTCATTTCTGTGTTACACAGAACTAACCTTTGTATTGTTTAAAKCAGTGAACCTTGAGGGAGATGCACATAACCATGTTAAACAAAGCACAGCAGATAAAACAGCTGTTGAGAAGTTCTTCATGTTTGTTTCATTTTGGCCTCTGTAAAGTTTAGTTGAAAAGAATATAGCTTTCAATGCACRGAAAATTTCTGTCTTCAATCTCTTTTTCCCCCCTAGATAAAAATAAACATGGAAGAGTGAAAGGCTTGTTGAAAGAAATGTTACAGCACAGCATAAAATATGCACTTAGCCTTCCAGACAGAATAACCCTCCTCTCCTGGTGCCTCTTCAGTGCCTTATGAGGAAGAAATAAAACACAGCTACAATAGTTTGAGAAAAATGTACTGTTTTGTTTTGTTTTTTAGCAAATATGAAGATCAACATTGGATTTGAAGAGCAATATAGAGCATGGAATTATCCTTTGCTTTTGTCATTGGCAAATAGCTGTACCAGGGCATGTCTGGAAGAAGCAGTTTCTGTTACCAGCAATTCAGAGCAGTGGTAATAGGAAGTGTATGCAGGGTACAGGTCAGCCCACTGTAACTACTGGGAATTTTGGTTGGGAATCGAGTATTTCACAAGTATCAAATGGGGATCAAAAGTATCATAGCTCCATTTTGTTGTAAATTAAACTGTCAGTGAGACAGCAACCAAATCTCCAATAAACTGGAAAGAAAGACTGGAGATTCAAATACTATGACTATGAAACAGTTTTTGAAACATTTGTTATTTTAACAGATAACTTCCTTTTTATTTTTTTTCTGTTCATGGTTGTTCATGGTTGTTCATGGTTGTTCATGGTTGTTCATGGTTGTTCATGGTTGTTCATGGTTGTGTATGGTTGTTCATGGTCATTTAAAAAAAATAGGGGAAAAAAAAATTGTCATTTCCAGCCAATGAGTTTGGAGGTTGGATAAATGAGAAAAGTGAATGGAGAAGGAAATGTAGCAAATGTAGTTATGCCAAGTGTGTCTTATACTGCTCGCAGAGATCTAGCTAAGGTGGTGGGAAATGCTGTGGAAGACTCTTTCCATCTTGATTTGAACTGATGGTCATTGGGCCATACATTTCCTTTCTTACCGAGATGTCCCTATGCTAGTGAAAGGCTTGGAACAGGATGTGTTAATACCTTTGTCTGGCCTAAAAGAGGAGACTGCATATATTCTTTATGAATATACACAGATCTTAGCTGTGCGAGATAAATTGCTGTGCACTATAAAAGTCACGCCAAATTAATGTTCTTGCTGTGTGGTACAGGAGAGATTTTGGCACCAACTATTTATCTCAAAGGCTACAGTTAAAATTAAGACCTTGAGAGTCCTGTCTGCCTCCACTGATGACTAAGTTTTAAAGGCCTGAGGCTTTCCAAATCTGATCCTGTGAGGTGCCTTACAGAGGTGCCACACTGAACAAGTTTGGATATCACTGGTGATCAGAAGGTTACAGAGGAGTMTGCGAAGGGTTTGTCAGCAGAAAGGTCACACTGGCCTCCCACGTTTGCTACTCCACTGTTAATCAGCTGTTCTGCCAAYTAAATTCTGTTGTTGCCTGGATTTTTCTGAGTAACTGCATCTTTCTGAATCTTGATACACTCGGCAGTTTGGCACTTGTTGCACATGTATGTACTATYAAGTGGGAGGTTACTTTTCTTCTAGCAAACTATATTTTCCTCTATCCTGTCTCCAAAACTTCCCTTATATTAGACAAGGATATACAATTCTTTTGCCTGTTCATGGTATTTTATGACAAGACTCTGGGGAAAAAAAGATGTTGAAAAAGTACCCCTTAGAGTATGAATAGTAAGGTGGGTTGGACCTGGAGAACAACACAACTGGATGCACGGAGCAAACCTTTTCTTGCCACCAAAAGACACAGACTTCAGTACACTCTTCACTGTGTCACTCTTCAGTACACAAAATGTTTTGGTAGCATTGGTAATGTCGTGTGGCACTGGGAGATAGCGTGAAAAGGATTGTTTCACTTACTAGTCCTGTGCACATTCCAGTCCAATCTGTGGCAGAGTTAACTTCCAAAGCATAAGAACAAAAAACACCCTTCAACTTGTGAAGGCAAGATGAATTCTCCTATGTATTTCATGGTCAAGAAGGCCAATCTGCCTGAAATGAAGCTATGCAGAAAAATGAATATAATAATAGAAAGTTTTCTGCAATCTGATTCTCACAACCGCATTGATCAATATGTGCAAGGAGCACACAAATCAACTCCAAGACACAGCTTTTGGAAAATGCTTGTGCGAGGTCTTTATCTTTTGGTTTAATATTTCTAAAGTGCTTACCATTTGCAGGAATAAAAAGCCAATCCAAATCATCAGTAAATCTAAATATTTAGCTGCAATTAGAATGCTATGAGAATGTTTGTGGTGTATATATATATTATTCTGTCTTTTTCAGATGAAGGAGCAGAGGGTGGAGAGGTATCATCATCCAAAGCATCGCTGGAAAGTCAAGATTCAGAAGGAAAAAGCAGTGATTCCTAACACCTAAGAACTTGCTGGATTAATGAAACCCATCAACAGACTTTCTAGAGTTTCCCTGTGTCACCAGTTCTGAAGTGTGGTAGCAACTGTAGCAAGAGACGACATTTTACATCACATTTCTATCTAGATAACATTAACATGGAAATAAAGATTTTTTTTTCTACAATAGTCCATTGAAAACAATGTTCTACCCATCTAAATGGGAGAACTAAAGAATGTATCTGTTGTTTGGAGGTTTTTTAATAGTTGTAATACTCATTCTAACCAGTCTTCTTTGGTAGTTTCAAATAGAACAGTTAGCAGATGTACCAAAAAAATGACTGCTTCAGAATAAAATTTRTATTTCTTAATTTTCCAAAATAACTTTTTTCTCTCTAACATGTAAGTATATTCACTCTTCACCTTAAGGTGATGTTAAGTGTGTATTAAATTACAGACAACCATCTGTAATTTATTTCCTGGGATTTTTGTTCTCCTTAGGGATATATAGATAGGGTAAAGAAAAAAGGGAAAAATATCTTTTTKTTTTCTCAACYYCTTCTGATTCCAAAAGGTTTTGTATTACTACTTAATCYAGCAGTGTATGTTTTTAAACACTCTTGCATTTATTCAATTATGGCAGACCATCTCACTTCTCCCATTCCCAGCAGTCTTGATGCTTCTGTGCTCAAGCTTAATATTGTAGCTCTTTATGTGTATCTAAAATTAAGTAGCCACATTTATAAATGATTCAAACTGATTAATCTCACAGTGGGAAATAAACAGCTATCCTCTTTTCTGCCTTCTGTTGAACCTTCGATGTCTCTCCTTTATGACAAGCCCTGCAGTTTGTATTTCACCTGGTTTGGGTTTCTTGTTTGCTAATGATGGAAGCATTTCAATCGGTTTTTACAGAGATGCTGTTRAGCAGAGTTTTTTCCCTCTGCTGAAGGCCTGGATTTGTTACAGTGGCCATGCTGCTGAGAGTGCTCAGCATCCATCCCATTGGTGCAGGAGACCTAGGGTTCATGTGCAGACCTGGACCTTTAGGGCAGTCAGAGGCAGCAGCTTCCTGAAACTTAATGAACATTGACAGGGGGGTTCTTTCACTTGAGCACTCAGTCTCTCCACTGGATTGTAGCTAGATGGAGGAAGCATCTCTCATAGTTACATTACCTGTAGTCCATCCGTGAACAACTCATGTATTTATAGCTAGCGGAGAACTTGTAAGAGGCTTCCATTAATATTATTAATACTGTGCATTTACATATGGGTTCTTCTGCAGAGTCTTCTGCAGGCTATTCAGTAAAGTGTATAAGTTGAAATACAGGCAGTTCCATCTGCATGTGACGAAGAACTTCATGACTGTGAGGGTGACAGAGCCCTGGAATAGGCTGCCCAGGGAGGTTGTGGAGTCTCCTTCTCTGGAGATCTTCCAAACCCGCCTGGAGGCCACCCAGTGCCACATGCTTTAGGTGTCCCTGCTGGAGCAGGGGGTTTTGACTAGATGATCTCTAGAGGTCCCTTCCAACCTCAGCCATTCTGTAATTCTGTGATATTRTAGAGGACCAGTCCCAACACTGAGCCCTGGGGAAGTGGTCGCCAGCCGGATTTAAATCCATTCACCACCACTCTCTGGGCCAGAAGTGGCCATCAAGCCAGTTCTCATTCAGCAGAGTACACCTGTCTAAKCCACGAGCTGCCAGCTTCTCCAGAAGGAGGCAGCAGGAGATGGTGTCAAAGACCTTCCTGAAGTCTAAGTGGACCATGTTCACAGCCTCTCCCTCATGCAGTAGGTGGGTCACCTGGTCAAAAAAGGACATCAGGTTGATCAAGCAGGCAGCCCCCTGGTTGGTGATCGCCTTCAGGATGATCTRCTCCATAACTTTCCTCCATACTGAAGACAGTCTGACAGGCCTGGAAAAGAAGCTTCCCTGATCAGGTTTTGAACCCAGGTGACAGYGGTGAGAGCACTGAATCCTGCCCACCAGGGATCTCCATATGTTTCTAAATTGGGCATGGCAAAGAAAAAAAAAAAAAGTTGTACAGACAAAAAGTTCATGTTTACCATRCAGACGAGTGTACCTTGAAACACAATTTATCAAAAATCGGTATTGTACTAACCATATATGGTTATAGTAAATATATGATAATAAATGACAGGCCATTTGTCATATGCTGATATACCATCCATTTCAGCATTTGGGATCCATAGTTTGCATAGAGATCATTTATTTAAATAATACTTGGCCACTGCTATGTAAGAATCATGTTTCAAACTATTATCTGATGGTTTTGCTATTTTCAGTTTTCAYTCCAGCAATTCATAATTGTGTCACAATAACCTACTGTCTGATATCAGAGCAAGGAATGCTATTCCCTGCTTTATTGTGCCTATATAGTGAGAACTCATACAGTCAAAACTCATCTAATAAATATGATAACAGAAGTAGTAACCTCCAGGGCATTACTTAGGCACAACACAACCATGGCTAGAAGATGTTTCAATTATACTTTACTATCAAGTTTTCCAAATATTAAAAACCTTTGTGCATCACACACCAAGTATTGCAAGATTTAGAAAATTATTTAGGATTTCTCTATTGCACAGYTGCTGCTCTGTGTGTGATAAAACCCATGAAAAGGAATACAAAGAAGTGTCAGAAAGTGTCAGAAGTTTCTCCATCAGCTTTGCACAGGCCATGTTTGCTGTGCTGGGTAGTGCGAACTCCAGACGCTGTGTTCCCGGTTCCTCCAGGTCCACACACACTCAGAGCAGCACAGGCCAACAGGGCTGCAGCTACTTGCCCAAAAGCAGCCTATGTAGAAAGGCCTTCACTGTCCTGCCATCCAGYGGGACCTCCCGCCTGCGGGCAGGCAAAAGCAGAGAGGGAGTCACTTGTCTAAGGTACCTCCCCAGACTGAGAGCAAAAGGCAAAGCGGGTGACAGCAGACACTGCTAGCACAGCCATCCCCAGCTCACGAGACCCTTGCTCCAAGGCTCTTGCGACGGGTCCAGTTACGGCACTAGCTGTCAGGATGTTTTGTCAGGACGTCAGGAAACGTGACTATGTTTTCTTGCACAGTCAGCAAGAGGGCATGACTTTTCCAACTCAAACTCACCTCAGCTGTATGTGCAAAGGAAAGAACTGAGTTCAGGAGCACCACAAAAGCAACCTCATAAACGCTTTTACAAACCAMGTGTCTTAAGTCTGGCTTGCAGTGCAATCAGCTTTAAATCCCTGCTCTGCAGTCCGGATTATGGTGTCAATACCATGATAAATGACTGGGGTTTTGTTTGATTGCTTGGGGGGGAGGGTTGTTTTTTGTTTTGTTGTTATTGTTACATTTTTTTTTCAAAGAAAARAAGTTTCACCTTCCTCCATTGAAGCTTTGAAGCTGTTCTGCTCTGAAAAATAACTAGTACTACCTTTGAGATTTTACTTTTATTTTGCTTACTCTTTTCTGTCCGGTGGTACCAGTGGGTGTCCCGAAACACTCAGTGCATGAAGACGCCTAGCAGCGCTCTCAGTCTCTCCTGTGCTTGTCTTGCGCCACTGCAGAGCTGTATATCCCTGGCTTGTAAAGCCAAGTCTTACATTTTCTGAGTGGTGATACAAAGCATGTGTACCGGTTTTTTTTCTTCCTGGATTAAACGTATACTCCGCAATTTCCTGCGATTCCAAGGGCAGGAGCGGCTGGCGGACGCAAGATGGCGCCCGCGCCCGGCCGACGGCCCTGGCCTGCCCGCGTCCCCTCGCCGCGCGCCTCGCAGCGCCCCGGGAACTGCGAGCTCCGGCTCTCTCCGGGCTCCCTCCGGGCTCTCTTTGGCAGCCAAGGGAAGCGCAGCGCGAGGCGAGGAACCGGGCGCGGGAGCTGCCCCGCTCCGGCCGAGGCGAAGGAGCCGCGCTCGGCGCCGCCGGCAGAGGGCGCCGCCCGCCCGCCCGTCCCGCTCCTCGCCCGCGGGGACGGGAACGAGCCCTCTCCGCCTGCCCAGCGCTGCTGCTCAAACGGGAAGCCATCACCTACACGCGTTCTGAACATATCCCGGCATTACGCAGGGATCCCTGCGTTTTAAGAACAGAGCCGTGGCGGTCAGGCRAGGGGTGGTGGTGCGCTGCCCGCCCTCCCCTGCCCGGCGGCCATGCAGGCGCCACGGCAGCGCCAGGCCCCAGCCCACAGCGCCTCACAGATAAACCTGGTGCTTTAAACACCTAATGTGGGAAACTTAATCTCTAATTGCCACTACACTCAGTGAAATGAGGGGGGAGAAGGGGAGAAGGGGAGAAGGGCAACCGGGCACCCCCAAGAAGCCATGAAGAGGATGGCATGCCCCTGCGTGCCACAGCGATGCCTCCTAAGTCCTGGGAGAGGAAAAACTGCTGCAGAAGAAGCAGCATGTGACCGGGCAATTAAAGATGGTGTTGCAAAATAAAGCACTGAAATAAGTTTCTTCCAGGCGTGTTCTTTCAGGCGCCCTTTGAACTCTGGGCTTTGCAGCTGCTWTTTCTTTCGGATGTGGACTGTCTTCAGTGGGAATTCCTAGGTGTGTTAAAGGAAAGGAAAGTGTGTTTTAAAGGTTTGTTAAAGGAAAAAATAAAATGCTGATGGGTGAAGGAGGAGTGTGAGGATGGGGACTATGAAGGAAGGTGAGAAAGGGCTGCGTGACATGGTTCTCTGCAGAGCCCTGAGTAGTTTTGCCATGACAGCCGAGCTAGTGTCAGTGCAAAGAAGTTGCTCTCCTGTCTGCTCAGCTGCTTCTGACCCTTCCCCAGCTGCAGCACACAGCTCCTGTGCCACCATGTTTCAAAGGCACGGGAGGAAGGGGCTTTTAGAGGTCTTGTTTAACTCTTATGAGATTAGGTAAGGACCTTGCGATAAGTAATAACATAATCCTTGCTCTGGATTATGTTTACCACCTCCACGCTGAAGGGAGAGTCTTTTGAAACATGGGCATGTTGATGGATGGAGTTAAAGGAATAGCAGTTGCATCTATACTTCTCCGCTAGTACTTTTTACTATTCAGTCCAAGATTTGAAACCAGCGGTTGTCCAGACAGGAACTACATACCTACTCTCTTCTCCATATACCTGCATCTTCTGCCACAGTGGAGTCTGGATTTAACAAAACATGAAGCCACGCTGAGGAAGTTGGATGTGTTTTCACGTTTTCTAGTTTAGACTTGCATGTTGTGACTGCCTCATGTGATTTCTTGCCCAATACAGGATATGGAACTTCTCTGAATTACTTCCTGCATCTTGTCTAATAGCTGTGGTTGTTTCGTGTGTTTTACAATTTGCAGGGACAAAGAGTCTAACTAAAGCACAYTGAAAATTGTTGTAGTGACTAAGTCACCTCGCAGCTAATGCRCACTTTTCTTTTGATACAAATTTCTCTAGACTTAACGTCTAGTGACGAGAGTTTTCATATCTTTGTATCTAGACTGGTGAGTCACTCTCATTTCTCCTTCTCATTGATTCTCCAAACAGCAGAGGTGATTGAAGTTGTCCCCAAGCTTGTCCTGTTACTATTTAAAGCTGGTAAT